GGGAAAGAAAAACATTAAATAGAAAAATAAAAAAACGATTACTACAAAACCTGAGTCATTGGTGACGTATATAGACTTAGGGATAAGAATATCAAGTTGGCCAAAAAGTTCCTTCGGTTTTTAAGTAAAAATTAAAGACATTTTTTATTTTCACCAAGAACTTTATTGAACCATGTATTCACCCTTTTGTTCCACTACCTTTTGCCATTTTTCAGGCAACTTCATAATTCCATCTTCCTGAAACTTTTTCTTTTTGAGCAAAGAACTGTTCCAGGTGCCTTTTACAGTCTTCCAGGGAATTGAAATTGTTTCCATTAAGAGAATTTTGTAAAGACCTAAATAAATGGAAATCCGAAGGTGCAATGTCTGGTGAATATGGCAGACGAATCAGAACTTCCCAGCCAAGCTGTAACAGTTTTTGCCTGGTCATCAAAGAAACATGCGGTCTTTCATTACCCTGATGGAAGATTATGCGTTTTTTGTTAACTAATTCTGGTCGCTTTTCAAGTGCTGCTTTCAGTCAGTCTAACTGAGAGCAGTACTTGGAATTAATTGGTTTTCAAGAAGGAGCTCATAAGACAGGACTCCCTTCCAATCCCACCACATACACATCACCTTCCTTGGATGAAGACTGGCCTTTGGTGTGGTCAGTGGTGGTTCATTTCGCTTGCCCCACGATCTCTTCCATTCCACATTATTGTACAGTATCCACTTGTCATCACCCGTCACAATTTGTTTTAAAAACAGAATGTTTTCATTAAGTTTGAATAGAGAATCGCACGTGGAAATACGGTCAAGAAGGGTTTTTTCGCTTAACTTATGTGGGATCCAAACATCAAAGCGATTCACATAACAAAGCTGGTGCAAATGATTTTCAACGCTTGATTTGGATATTCTGAGTAAGTCGGCTATGTCCCGCACGGTATAACGTTGACTGTTCTCAATTAATATCTCGACTTGATTCGCTATCAACTTCAACGGGTCTACCCGACTGTGGAGCACTGTCCAGCAAGAAATCTCCTGCACGAAACTTCACAAGCCACTTTTACTTTTTTTTTTTTTTTTTTCCTTGCGTTATGCGGGCCTCTCACTGTTGTGGCCTCTCCCATTTGCGGAGCACAGGCTCCGGACGCGCAGGCTCAGCGGCCATGGCTCACGGGCCCAGCCACTCCGCGGCACGTGGGATCCCCCCGAAACGGGGCACGAACCCGCGTCCCCTGCATCGGCAGGCGGACCCTCAAGCACTGCGCCACCAGGGAAGCCCCACAAGCCACTTTTGACACATTTGATCAGTCACACCACCTTCTCCATATACTGCACAAATCTTTTTTTGCGTTTTTACCTTCCTTGAAATAATAAATCATAATATGCCAAAAATGTTGTTTTTCCTTCTATCTTCAATATTAAAATGTCTACACAAAAATTCACCAGGTTTGATAAGTTTTTTTTTTTAATGCACTCTGATAATGACAGCTGTCACAATACAATCCAATTGTTTCGAATGAAGTTAAAGACAACTAAACGCTACTAGAGCCAACTGACGGAAAAAGCTGAACGAACCTTTTGGCCAACCCAAAACATAGATAAAATTATAAACCAAAATATATTCAGAGATTTTTATGTTGTCCTAAAACATTTGCAGAGAAAATGATGCATATCTGTATGTTTTTAGTTAAAAAGCAAGGGCCTTGATGCTGTGGAAAACAGTTTTTGGTAGTTCCTCAAAAATTTAAACAAATATAACCAGGCACAACTAAGAATACACCCAAGGGAATTGAGAGTAGGGAGTTGGACAGGTACTTGTAACCCCATGGCCAGAGCAGCATTACCTAGCAATAGCCAAAAGGCAGAAACAGCCCAAATGTCCGTCAACTGACAAATGGATGAACAAAATGTGGCATGTCCATTCAATGGAATATTACTCAACCTTAAACAGGAACGAAGGTCTGACTCATGCTACAACATGAGTGAACCCTGAGAACACTATGCTAAGTGAAGCAAGCCAGACACAAAAGGACAAATACTGTATGATTCCACTTACATGTGTTAAATTCATAGAGACAGAAAGTAGAATGGTGGTTACCAGGGGCTGGGATGGTGGAGAGAGAGGGTTTGGGGAGTTATTGTTTAATGGGTATAGAGTTTCAGTATGGGATGATGAAAAAGTTTTGGGAATAGACTGTGGTGATGGTAGCATAACAATGTGAATGTAATTGATGCCACTGAATTGTACACTTAAAAATGGTTAAAATGCCAAATTTTATGTTATGTATATTTTAACACAATTTTAAAAAATTAATAATACCAAAACCATTGAACTATGTACTTTAAATGAGTGAATTGTATGGTATGTGAATTATATCTCAATAAGGCTGTTTAAAAACAAAAAAGTGGGCTTCCCTGGTGGCGCAGTGGTTGAGAGTCCGCCTGCCGATGCAGGGGACACGGGTTCGTGCCCCGGTCTGGGAGGATCCCACATGCTGTGGAGCGGCTGGGCCCGTGAGCCATGGCCGCTGAGCCCGCGCGTCTGGAGCCTGTGCTCCGCAACGGGAGAGGCCACAACAGTGAGACGCCCGCGTACCGCAAAAAAAAACCAAAAAATAAAAACAAAACAAAACAAAAAAGCACCGGCCTTGGGCATTGCTCTCCTCTTCACTCATTCCCTAAACACTGTCCTGGCTCACACAAAGATGTGTCAAGGCAAAGGGTCCAGGAGTGGGGGATGAGGTGGCTGAATCTCCCCCCAAAATCCCAGGGAATTCTGTGACTCGATAAGATGTGGGGACCTGTGAAGAGGGGAGACTGGGAAGGGCTCTGAGTGGCAGAAGAGGGGACAAGGACTCGAGGCGGGGCTTCTACAAAGGACTATAAGCAGGGGGCTCACTTATATACATAGCTACATGCTTTAGAAAGGGGCACAGATAGTCGGGAGAGGGGTGAAATGGGGAGACCACTGACGTAACACAAGCAAAACAGATGAAGTCGGAACTAGAACAATGGGGGGAATGAAACAGAAAAAGGCATGGATTCTAGAGACCCTTAGGAGAAAGGGGACTTTGGGACCACCTGACTATAGGAGCTGAGGGACAGGGAAAAGTCTTAAATCACTTCCACGTTTTGTGGCGCAGAAAAGTGGGTGAGTGCGGGCCGTGTTTCCTGGCAGGTTAGCAGGGAGCATGCTGAGGCCAGAGGCACTCTGGAACACTGGAGTGGCTATTCTAAGCAGCCCCAACAGAACGGGTGTGGAGGTCAGGAGATGTCTGGGCTGGAGACAGACTTGGTCATGAGTACGTCAGTGCAGGGAGATGCTGAGAGAGCCACCGGGCAGGAAATACCAATAAGGAAAGCAGGCCAGATGTACAACTAAAGAGTTGGGGGTAGGGGTGGGGGTGGGAAGCCAGACCTCTCTCCATCGACCACTGCCTGGTGGGAACTCCAGCCGAGTGTACCTACCTCTTCCAGTTTTGCAAGAAGAAAACAAATCCAGATTTTCACATGAAATCTCTCCTTTTAAACACAGGAACACCAAATTCAATTTTTTAAATTGTAGTAAAATATATGTAACTTAGAATTTGGCATTTTAAGTGTACAGTTCAGTAGCATTAAGTATATTCATGCTGTTGTGCAAACTATCACCAGAACTTTTTCCATCTCCAGAACTCTTTATTTTCCCAAACAGAAACTCTACACCCATTTAACACTAACTCTCCATTCTCCCCTGCCCACAGCCCATGGTAATAACCATCCTGCTTTCTGACTCTATTAACCTGACTACTCTGGGTACCTCATAGAAGTGGAATCATACAGCATTTGTCCTTTAATAACTGGCTTTATTTCGCTTAGCATAATGTCCTTAAGTTTCATCCATGATGCAGCATGTATCAGAATTTGCTTCAAAAATTTAAAGGACACCTTGTATGCTAAACAGAACATATAACTGGGCCAAGAGTTCCTGTTTTGAGCCACAGCAATAATGGTGCCCACCACCCTCACCCTTTGTGGAAGCATCGATTACATCATTATTTATAAAATTGTTTTTGTGGCTCAGTAAATATATGAACATGCCTTTAATCATATCCCTGTGTGATTGGCCTTCTGCAGACTGAGCCGGGCATTTCATGGGCATCTACACACATCGTAGGTACTAGGGTTTCTGAGACACTATTGTCAACCTCTGCTCATTGCCCGGGCAGTGCATCGACTAATCGCACTCATGTGCAACACACGATCAGAGCACACAGAGACACCCGACCTGTCAAAGTTGAGACTGAGGTCACGCCCTTTGGGTTTCCCAAGAGACAAACACATAAAGGTGACTAGGCATGAGCAGACAGCCCTGTGGCACCCTCACAGGCCTTTGGGTACACTCAAAAAAGCTATAACAAAGCGGAGCTCCCTATCCACACTCTATGAAGGAACCCAGCAGGGTGAAATACACAACGTGCAAAAGTCAAAGGCCAACGTAAGGTGTGAACAAACCAACACTCGAGCACGGCAACACAGACTGTTCACATGCCATCACAGGACTGCAAACAAATCACCTAGATTCTGGGCAGGAATTCCCTGAGCACTGAACCTAGAACAGCACCGGGCAGAAACTCAAAACTATTCCCCCCATAACTCTCACCCTTGGTACTTAGTTCCAACTACTGGGGTTCCCCAGCAAGTCTACTCTACCGTGTGCCCCTGAAGGGTCTTCAAATACCTGCCTTCTGACCTGTTACCTTTACAGGCTGGCAAAGCAGTATCTCTATGATTCTTCTACCAAAAGCCCATTTTTCCTGTCTGCAGTGTTTGCTTCTGGCATATGCCTCTGTTTATTCTGAGCCTTTGGAAGGCTCCATGGGTCACTCCCTTACTCCCATGCTTGGTGACTTCCGTACTTTGTACAGGCCACCTTAAAATCAGAGACTACCAGCAGGCTCTCTGGGTAGTCCCCATTGCTTTCTTAGATCGTTCTCTCAACACACATTTGCTGGACAGCCATGATGCACCTCAGCTTTGTCCCCCAAGATCCCAGCCGGTTAAGTCTAGAGCTTGTCAGGTACACTGCTTGTAATGAAGGTATTGGTTGGGGGTTCAGGCTGCAAACACAGACATGAACCCCAGTTGGAAAGAAAACCCAGGCTCTAGACATGGGACAAGGGAAGTGGGGAGAGCCACAGAAGGCACTGTCCACCACAGGCAGCTGGATGCTGCCACTCCCCCGTGGCCATGGACCATTTCCTGCGTTCTTGATGCCATGCTGCCACCAAGGATAATCTGTCCTTCTTAGCATTTGTGGATCACTTCCCCAGGGGTGGGGGGCAGAGAAAGGGAACACCTGCCTCTTCTCTAACTTCCAAGGAGGTTTAACTCTAGATGAGCTCTACAACTAAAATACATAGGGTATTTGGTGGCTGTGTAGGCAAACAATTAGAGAAGTCCACCACACTATGAGAGATGGTTATAAAAGAGGAAAAAAAAAAAAACCCGCAACTCAGCACGGCCTTTTTCTTGCCACTGTAACAGTTCTATGATCTACCACTCTTCTCATAAAAAAATTTTCTTTCCTCTCTCCTTTTATCTTCACTCATCAGATACAGAATTTTCTCACCTCTCTGTCACTATGTATTCCCTTCTATCTAAGCTTTTCTTTCAAAGCTGGCATACCCCACCAGACTTGGTGATACCCACAAGTTATTCCAACCTTTGGACAAAGCACTGTGTTACATGTGTCCTGCTCTGGGCATTTGTCCACAGACTCTGGAGGACCAAAGTTCTGAGGACCAAGTTCCTCCCCCATCATTCTGCTTTCCTCTCACAGCCCCAGAAACTGATCTCACGTGTTACCTGGGCAACTTCCTCCTCAGCCCTCAGCAGAGACGTACAAGTGCTGGCCAAGAGCTAAAGCTTGACCATGGGTGTCCGAGGACTGGAAATGCATGTTCTCATCCTCAACACCATCCACGTAGCCAGGTGTTTTCTTTCTTTAAGGTGCTGTTTCTGAAGCTGAGAAGTCCCTATCTCTACCTACGCCCCAAGGATCTTCAGTTTCTTGCCCAAGACTTTGGAATTCCTCAACAACTGCCTGAATTAGCAGGAGAGAGGGACAATGCCATTTCTCTAATAGGTTCTCTGGGGGGATAACACCCCACCCCGATCAGCCGCAGACATAGTCAGCCTCCCACTGTAATGACCATCTTTCACAAGGGTGGGGACAACATGCTTCTAAATACCTGTGAATACTCTTAAGTATTCCAAATTTTTCCAGATAATTCTTCACTACTGTCTGAAAATTGCTACAAACAGGTATGTGGTAGTTCAGGTTCAGACACCTTTTATTTTCGTTAAACATAAAGGTGCAAAGGCATGTGGTACAGACCAGATAAAAACAGGCATGTGTGCAGACGGACAGAGGATGACAAAGGTCATCTTACCACCATCCCTCACTCAAAGTGAGCCGTGTGTTATGTTCACCCAGCCTTTTTGCTTTTGTCAACATGACTCTCCTCACCAAGAATGCTGCTACCTTCTCCTGGCCCATTTAATATGGCCCCACGCATACCCACCTTCTCTGGGAAACCGCCTGAACATGCCTCCTGCCAGTCATGTCCCTTTTGCCCCTGACTCTACAGCACCAAGTCTGCCTCTCAGTGTTAAAGCTCAATTATTCAAGTCTCCATGATCTTACTTCCTGTGTCTCTACATCGTAAGACCAGCTTGAACACAGGGATGGAGCCTTCTATTTTCCATGTATATTCTCCCTACCAAGCACTGAGCAAACAGCTACCTGATAACCTTGCTGCTGCTCTGGGCACTGGTTCCACAGTGGTTCTAAAGTGCTCTATGAGGACTGGAAGGGCAAGGTCAGAAAACTTTGGGTGAAACTGGGGTCTGAGTCACTGACGTCCCCTCTGCCAAGACACACAGGCTGCCTTATAGGAAACAGTGGCTCAGAAGTAAAACAGATGCAGTGCTGTCCCTGACCCTGCCCAGAGGCTTAGTTCTTGTGGACAGGAGACAGGAACACCTGCATCTCCAGGGCACACAAAGCGAGTAGAGGAGTCACAGGCACTGTGGTGGGGCTCGGCCTTGGGCAAGAGGACATCTCCAGCTTCCGATTCTCCTCGCTCCCACTGCAGCCCTGAACCACAGGGGCAGTGTGAGCTGAGAGTAATGACCAGAGCAGTTCCAAGGCCAGCCTTGGACATCAGAGGCTGGCATTTAAACAAAGTGAGGACTAACAGCTGAGGCTGGGGGAAGATGACCCTAACCAAAACCAGATGCTGGCTCACAGCTCCCTGAACAGTGCACACGCCTGCCCTCCACTCCCCAGCCCAGCTTGGGCTGTGGAGCTTTGACACGTACCCACTTTGCGATGGGACAGCCACGTGAGCTCTTCCCTTCCTTCCCCGTGTAGATGACCTTCTCGATACGGATGGCTTTCCCCTTCTCTCCGTACCTGGAGAGGGAGACAGAAGGCACCATTAGCACAGCTGAACCCCAAAGGAGAGCAAGTCTTGGTAAGAAGGCAAGCCTCAGTGTGTTTCAGCTAGGGTTTCTAGTTACTGTGGGGCAATAGAGAAGGAAGAGAAAGATTTAAATGTTTATTCCGTGTGAAAGCCTCTGGGGACACAGCTCCACTTACAGACTCCCAGGGCCTCTGGTCCACCTGGCTCCGCTCTGTCCCAGGGCAGAAGGTCTCTGATTATTACCTCTGAGCACTCAAACCCAAGGCTCAACACAGGCATTTGTATCCAGCCCTGTTAGCAGAGTTAGTTATTTATAAATTCAGTAAAATGCAATAGACAAAACAAATGGGGAAACCCTTATTATTCTCTTTCAACAATCCCCAACTGACATTTGAACAGATGAGGACAGATAGCTGAGGCCAGGGGGAAGTGACCCTACCCAGTACAAACTGGCTCTGAGATTCCCTTGGACAGTAAACACGTCTGGTTCCTACACACACCCCTGCCCTGGACCATACATGTGTGCACACACTCAGGGATTCACCACATTCAGAGGTGATGAAACTGTGGCCCCCAGAGCTGAAATGACCTGCCCAAGGCCACACAGCTACCTGGGGGCAATGGTGGTTAAAGTGCAGCCTTGGAGGTCAGAGAGCTGGGGCTTGAGTGCCAGCGCAGCATTTTCTTGTTATAGGACCATGGCCAGATGACTGAACTTCTCTAAGCCTCAGTTTCCTCATCTGTAAAATGGATATAAAAATGGTTCCTGTCTCCTAGGCTTGGGAAAAGATCAAATGAGATAATCCACAGGGAGTACATGAAAGTACTCTGAAGTTCCTGGCATGAGGGAAGAACCCAGTAAATATTAATTATTCTTAATACTGTAAACATCCATCTTGCTGAATTGTCTCCTTTTTAATAGCTTTTTAGTTTCAAGTACAATAATATTATCGTCTGCAAGTACTGGTTATTTGCCACCTCCTCCTTTCCACTTTCCATGCCTCTATTTCCATCTCCTGTCTGTCTGTACTGGCCAGCCCCTTCCAAAGCACTAGCAGGCACCTTTGCTTATTTCTTGACTCTACTGGAGATGTTTCTAACTACTCATCCCTGGGCATGAAGCTTGCTGACTTTGGGACAGAGATAGAGACTCCCTTACTTTGAAGGGCTCTACTAAGGGTTTCCTGCCCTAAGGATTTTTTTCTTTCTTTTATTTTGCTGCATTGTCTTTGTTGGTTCCTGGCATGAGGGAAGAACCCAGTAAATATTAATTATTCTTAATACTGTAAACATCCATCTTGCTGAATTGTCTCCTTTTTAATAGCTTTTTAGTTTCAAGTACAATAATATTATCGTCTGCAAGTACTGGTTATTTGCCACCTCCTCCTTTCCACTTTCCATGCCTCTATTTCCATCTCCTGTCTGTCTGTACTGGCCAGCCCCTTCCAAAGCACTAGCAGGCACCTTTGCTTATTTCTTGACTCTACTGGAGATGTTTCTAACTACTCATCCCTGGGCATGAAGCTTGCTGACTTTGGGACAGAGATAGAGACTCCCTTACTTTGAAGGGCTCTACTAAGGGTTTCCTGCCCTAAGGATTTTTTTCTTTCTTTTATTTTGCTGCATTGGGTCTTTGTTGCTGCGCGCGGGCTTTCTCTAGTTGCGGTGAGCGGGGGCTACTCTTTGTTGTGGTGCGCCGGCTTCTCGTTGCGGTGGCTTCTCTTGTTGCGGAGCACGGGCTCTAGGCATGCGGGCTTCAGTAGCTGTGGCACGTGGCTCAGTAGTTGTGCACGGGCTTAGTTACTTCGCGGCATGTGGGATCTTCCCGGACCAGGGCTAGAACCCATGTCCCCTGCAATGGCAGGTGGATTCTTAACCACTGCACCACCAGGGAAGTCCTTGTTCTAAGGAGTTTTAATCAAGAATCGATCAATTTTATCAAATACATTTTCAGCAACTAAGGACATATATGATTGAATGGTTTTTCTCCTTTGGTCAATTAACAAGGTATGCTATTTTAACAGACTGTCTAAAGCAAACAATCCTTATATTTTTGTAATAAATCCAATTTGGTCATAGCATATTTTAATATGCTACTATTTAATAGAGGATAATGTTATCATAGCTACTACATATTCTGTTTTACATATTCTTTATATAAATACATATATAGTTACACATAGTTCTTTAACTCATCCACTCTACGTCTAGGAATCTCTACCTCAGACATAACTGTACAAATACACCAAGATTTAGGAACAAGATATTCATTGTTGCATCAACAAGAGAAAATTTAGAAAGAACTTAAATATCCAGTATAGGACTGGCTAAATAAAACATAATAAAATAAATGTCCATGCAATGGAAAACCATGTAGCTGTCAAAAAGGATTCTACAGAATTGTATGTACTGACACAGAAGAAATTAAGTGGGGTGGGGGGTAATAGCTACAAACATGGGGATAGTATGCTTGATCCCATTTTGTTCAAAATTTCTCTATATACATATGTGTATCTTCATAAATGCTTAGAAAAAATAGTAATGTAAGCATCAAACTTTAAAAAAACTTTTTTTTCTTCTAAGAAGGATAATTATTAGAGAGCTTTATTCACTCTAGACTTTTTAAAAACAGCCTTTTATAGACATGTTTTATTTTTGTAATTGGAAAAGAAAACAAATATTTTAAAAAATGCTTCTGGGCTTCCCTGATGGCACAGTGGTTGAGAGTCTGCCTGCCGATGCAGGGGACACGGGTTCGTGCCCCGGTCTGGGAGGATCCCACATGCTGCGGAGCGGCTGGGCCCGTGAGCCATGGCCGCTGAGCCCGCGCGTCTGGAGCCTGTGCTCCGCAATGGGAGAGGCCACAACAGTGAGAGGCCCTTGTATCGCAAAAAAAAAAAAAAAAAAAATGCTGATCTAAGGTTTCTCTGAGTTCAATGTTCTCTATTTCACTCAAGACCTCAGGAATGAGGTGAAAAGCTGATAACTGCCACATTAAAATTCTAAGGCTATGTTAGTCCCTTATAGAATGTGTTTGGAGACAGGACTCTGGGGAGTTTATATAGCGTAGTCTGGCTCAAGAGGAAAAGACCAGATAGTGCTGCTTTTGTTTGGTTCCTGGAAAACTTTCAGCTCCACAAGCATCTATCAGGAGCGCAGAGCCTGGACACTCAGTGTGTCCTGGGGTCGCTGTGGGAAGAACAACCCGAGGTGACCATACTGTTCTCACTGGAACCGACAGGATATCGTGTTCCCCACAGGAGGGTGAGCTGAGGACACAGACTAGGGCTTTCTGACCAAGACCCTCCCCACCGTCTCATCCTTGTGAGAAATGCTTCCTCTAGTGAACTTCATATTTGAGAGCAAATAAAAGCGCCAAGCACTGTCTGATCAGTTAGAATTTTTTTTTTTTTTTTTTTTAACCAGAACTGTCTCTGTGTTTAAAGACAACCAACCAACTCTGGATTTAGTTCTTTTTTCTTAAATGTCTTACTTTCCGGCCTATCATTAAGAGGCTAGGATATAGGTGAACTCCTAGACCCTAAACTAAGTCTGGAAGGGGGTAGGCTGAAACCTTATTCTAAAGGGTAACTTCATCGTCTTAGCCAGTGATTCTCAAAGGTGGTGCTGGGACCAGCATCCCCTGGAAACTTGGGAGGAATGCAGACTCTCGGGTCCCATCCCAGACCTGCTGGGTCAGAAACCCTGGGGTGGGGCCCAGCGAGCTGTGCTTTCACAAGTCCTCCAGAGACCTGAAGCATATGCTCAAGCTTGATAACCGCTGATCTAAAGTTGTGATTCTTCACGGTTACTTTTATCACACATTAATGAGACCAGTTCCCCCCAAACTCAGAGGATTTGCTGGCATGGTGTTGGTGCTTTCATTCCTAGAATGAACATTTAATGAACTCCTAGGCTGCAGAGAATCCCCTTTCCAGTTAGAGGACATATGGCCCTGTGCAGCAGGCCATTCTCAGATATGGGTTTGAACACCTGACTCCAATTATCTATGACAACAAGGACCTGGGTACCCAGGAGGTATGGAACCCATTAACAAATCTGATAATATTTTAGGACTTGCTTTCAACCTCCTCCTTTCACAGTCTTTCCCAGATAAACTAAAAGCACCAACATCCCCTGGATTTCAGTTTTCTTTCCTCTTTGCCTTGGCCAACTCCTGGCAGTGGAGTGGTCCTGCAGAGTAAGGGTTGGGCGGGAAGTCTAGAGAAAGAGACAGCCTGGATCATTCACAAACTAGACCCCCTTCCAGGTGATTTTCAGCAATCATTCATTCCCCTCCTGTTCCAGAAGGAGCTTAAAAAGATGTCTATGTGATAAAAATAACAGGTGATGAAATCAGAGTAAAGGGGGAAACAGATAGACATGATGTTGTTATGCAAAATGCAGACGGTGGGACCTTGTGCATATTTTTAAGAGATGAGCCTAGAACATTTCATCACATGAGACATCAAGGAAGCTAATGAAGACTCCTTAGGGTCATGTCAAAAGGACTCAGGAGTGAACCTGAATAGGCTCCCACGGGCCAAAGATGAGAAATTACGTTCCTCCTAATGAGGATACACAAATCTGGCTCTAAGCTTACTAGCAGCCAACATAAAGATGGAAACACAATCTGTTCCATGATTTACAAGGCCCTTAAGATAAAAATAAACCAGTTGCTGAGGAAAAACACAAGTATTCCTGATCTTGAGAGGAATTCCTCCCTTGGATCAGTTTCTGAAGAATCTACACTTGGCTGTTATTTTTAAAGCAATGATAAAAAAAAAAAAAAAAGGACAAATCTCAACTTTATCATTATCGCTTAATCCTTGTTTCAAAACATACTCTTCTAAACTAAAAGTTATTGAGAGAGCTGTCTAGAAACCTTGCAAAATTGTTACCAAAAAACAAACACACATAAAAACTGTCCCAGATCAAACTTGTACATTTGACTCCCCTGCAGCCCTCAACCTGTAAACAATAGTGTCAAGATTCCTCACAAAAATCGCTGGCCAAAAAGAATGCTCAACATCATTAATCATTAGAGAAGTGCAAACCAAAACTACAATGAGGTATCATCTCACACTAGTCAGAATGGCCATCATCAAACAATCTACAAACCATAAATGCTGGAGAGGGTGTGGAGAAAAGGGAACCCTCTTGCACTGCTGGTGGGAATGTAAATTGATACAGCCACTATGGAGAACAGTATGGAGGTTCCTTAAAAAACTACAAATAGAACGACCATACGACCCAGCAATCCCACTACTGGGCATATACCCTGAGAAAACCATAATTCAAAGAGTCATGCACCACAATGTTCATTGCAGCTCTATTTACAATAGCCAGGACATGGAAGCAACCTAAGTGTCCATTCACAGATGAATGGATAAAGAAGATGTGGCACATATATACAATGGAATATTACTCAGCCATAAAAAGAAACAAAATTGAGTCATTTGTAGTGAGGTGGATGGACCTAGAATCTGTCATACGGAGTGAAGTCAGAAAGAGAAAAACAAATACCGTATGCTAACACATATATGGAATCTTAAAAAAAAAAAAAAAAAAAGGTAATGAAGAACCTAGGGGCAAGACGGGAATAAAGACACAGACCTACTAGAGAATGGACTTGAGGACACAGGGAGGGGGAAGGGTAAGCTGGGACAAAGTGAGAGAGTGGCATGGACATATATACACTACCAAATGTAAAACAGCTAGCTGGTGGGAAGCAGCCGCATAGCACAGGGAGATCAGCTCGTTGATTTGTGACCACATACAGGAGTGGGATAGGGAGGGTGGGAGGGAGGGAGACGCAAGAGGGAAGAGATATGGGGATATATGTATATGTATAGCTGATTCACTTTGTTATAAAGCAGAAACTAACACACCACTGTAAAGCAATTATACTCCAATAAAGATGTTAAAAAAAAAATCGCTGGCCAAAATAATGCCTGCTCCAACCTTGAAGCTGTAACACATACACATGTGGGCACATGCAGGCGTGCATGAATAACCCACACACTGTTTTAAATGTTTCATTCTCACCAACAATGTACTAGGGTTCCCTTTTCTCTACATCCTTGCCAACATTTGTTATTTGTGGACTTTTTGATGATACTTATGGACTCAGAGGTGCTCTTTCAATCAGTCTTGAATTTACAGATTGGGTCTTGGATCAAATGCTTTTCTGATGGGCTACTATGAACATAAATGTTTCCAGATGGTACACGATAATTAAGAGTGTTTACAGCAGATCACTGTGCTCCATCCATCTTACCTTTTATTCATTCAGGGATATCACTACAGTTATTTAGTTCAAAATCACGTTCCCTGCTATATTAATGACAGTATTAGTTACCCTGGTCAGACAAAATCTGGTCCCCAAATTTGTAGAAATTCTAAGCTACAATTCTCAGCCCCCAGCCTTCCACACATCTGTATGGCTATGTATATGTATGAGCAAACATGTTTATGTCTTACATAATTTACGACTTTACTATTAAAATACTAATGTTTGTTATAAAAATGCAGTCAGTAACTGCAGATATGATGTAGACACCCTGTATGTAATATTTACTAGTAAGCACTAAGTGCCTTCCAGACATCAATTCAGTTTATCCTCATAACTCTCCTCCAATGTATGTACTTTTATTTTCTCCATTTTGCAGATAAGAAAACCGAGTCACAGAGAAGTAAAGCAACTTACCAAAGAACTCATCAGTAAGTGGAAGGGCCAGGACTGGACCTTAGTCTAGCTCCAGTGTCCATATGCTCTCAATCACCAAGCTATTTTTATCTCTCTACACACTGGAACTCACAGCATTTAATATCTACTGTGGACACGTACATAGATTTTAAAGTTTCTATCTGTACAAAACTGCTTAAAAAAGCAAAACAGAGCTGTCAAGTAAAAGCCCTATAGTCTTGAGTTCGAATTGGAAGTGTATATAAAGTCAGTGTTATGTATTAATCACTAAACAATAGCAAAAATAAAAAACCTACACATACATCTTGGCTCTTTCTACAGAAATGGCCTAGAAAAATGAGCACCCCCAGCACCCAGAGTCTGTTTTCTAAATATTTCTTCCCCCAATAAAAATACGAGAAATCAAGAACTCCTAGGATCATGTCAAAAGGACTCAGGAGACAATGTGAATAGGTGCCCACTGGCCAAAGACGAGGCATACATTTCTCCTATTGGTGGTACAAAACACCACCTAGGAAGTAATTTTGAAAGAAAGAAACAATCTGATTCTGATCAAGCCTTTAGATCTAACCAATTTACATGACACAGGGCAGAAGAACCTGTTAATACCACAGGAAAGATAGCAGCAAACTTCAGACCATGAGAAACTCTACAGGACATACAACCATTTAACCCCATTTCTTTAATAAAAAATATTTCAAGAAAGAGTGAGATAAAAGGGGGTTATGGGGATCTGTAAAGGGCAGACCTATAGACAGAAAGAAACCCTGGGCACTGGGGGTGAAAATCCCACATTCAACTTTTCAGTCTGTGTATCAGGGATTCCTTTCTGTAGGCTGTCTAATATAAGGCAATGAAAACGAGAGGTGCTTAAAATCCATATTCTGTTAACAACTTGCCCATTTCTCCTTGGACATCTGTGCATCACTCACC